ACTGCAGATTGTATAGGGGCTTTTTCCTGCCTCAGCTTGTCAATTGTACTCACAATCAATTGAATAGAAATGTCCATGTGTTCCCACCGATTTGCAGTGAGTGTTGGAAAGTGTTTCATCTGTGTGTTCAGTACTAAAAGGAGCACCACTATTGGTAAGCGTTAAAGTTTACTCCAGTGGAATGGTTTTGTGCTGTGTCTATGAAGCTGGGCTGGAACTACATTCCCCAGAATGCCTTTACTCATGAGGTTACCCATTAGGCTTGCCCACAGGAAGTCTTTTCATGAGATTTGGAACATGGAAGTGAAACAGTAGCTACTAAGTTCAGAATAAGCAGGTGACAGATGCCACTATATCTCCTGCCTGGTCTCCTGGCTCACCGTGTTGGTGAGCAGCAGAAGGTGGTCTACAGTTCTCCAGCTCTATCAGATTTCCTACTCCAGCTCTGAGTCCTGGGTCAGAAACACACGCAGCTCCAGGTGAAAGGAGCCAGCTTCTTCAATTAGGCCACCTACACTATATGGAGTTTGGAGGTGGTTGACACCAGATGCACATTTGTCTATCCTCAGGATCCCAGCTTTTCCTTGCTCTCCTCTGCATCATACCCAGCTTTCCTCCCTATCTGCCAGCCCCACTGACTTGCTGTAACTTCGGCCCCACTGTCTGATGCAGAAGCACCAGCCTTCCATGAAGTTCTTCACCATAACTACATGATGTTAGACACACAGTTATGGTGAAGATCCCTAAAATGAATCTCTCAGGCAATGTTATCCAAAGTGATTTTGATTTCCTGATAAATCTCTAATTAAAAACCATACATGATAAAGCAGGGCCTAATCTTAAGGTATTGTGGTCACAGAATTTTTGAGTTAAGCTGCTGAGAAGACAGGATCACGGAGCAACACTTGACTCATGTTGAAAGAGAAGAGGAGGAGGTTATAATAAGTGATTGTCTATAAAGGAGACAAACATAAACATACAACAAAACCAAAGGCAGGAATTAGAGCTGGCACAGTCTTAGCAGCTTTTCCCCTGTGCAAACAGAATACAGGGGATGAAGCTTTGGGAGCAAGTGCTGTGGTGACTACCCAGGGGATCCTCACCTGTATGCCCCTCCCCTGTTGGGAGGGGGCCACTAGCTGGAGAGGATTTTCCACCAAGGACTAGAGATCAAAGGAAACAGGCTAATCTTGGGGGGAAATCCAAAATAAAACTGAAGAGTCAGAATTTTTATTAAAGTGAGTCCAACTGAGTTTAACAACTAATCTCTGTTCCCATAACATTTCTACCTGCCTGAAGTTCCATCTCTGTGATTCTTTGTTTGCCATGTGACTCCATGTGATGCACCAGCACGTCAGCTGTGGGGGAGGTACTGGGTTGCTAAAGCCTGGAGATTTTTGGCCTGGGGTTGTTCTCTGAAGACCAGGCCCTCCTGAGACTTCCTCAAAACACCCTGGCTGACCAAAGGCAGGGTGACTTGTGGACTTCTTTCACACTGCCCTCCACATGCACACTACTGCCCTTGGTGCCAATCACTCTCACTGGAAGAGGAACTCTGTCCCATTTCCCTACCCCCATCATTCCTCTGATTCCAAACAAAACAAATCAGTTCTTGCCACACTGCTTCAAAGAAGTGTGGTGTCCTGGAAAATACCCATATGAGCAAAGAAATCTATTCATAGATTGCATGTGATTCATGCCACTCAGGTTGACTTTGGCTGCGTTATGCTTAGTTCTCTTCTGAGGGAAACTGTCATTGGAAGCAGCAGGAAATCTGAGAAGATCAAGTGGCCTGTGCCCACTGAGCTCACACAGGACATCAGACACAATATAGATACACCAGTGTGTGTTGGTAAATTGAGGACTTGGCCAGCTCCCAACAAACCCTGAGTATGTGGGTCCATCCGGATCATTTCATCATTGTGACTGGAATCATAGCTTTTGGTCCCTCATGTCTTGCTATGTGAAATAGCAATGATAAAGCCTTTTTACATCAATGGAGACATTTTGAAACATGGCAAGAAGTGAATAAAGCACTGAAAGTATCACACACAAAAAATATACAAATCCAATTTTATTAATATTAACTTATAAATTATCTGGCCTTGACAGATTATATTAGAATCATGTTTTTTTTTTTTGAGGCAAATATAGTAATCCTCTACTGCAGGGGGATAAAAAGTCTACTTGGTGATATGAGAAGTACTGGCATGATAATTTCATAAATTATTCAAGTCCGTGGAAACATTCCAGTTCAGAGATGGCAACCCAGATTTGCTTTCAGATTTCTCAATTTTCACATGCATTTTTAGCTCCCTGCTTGATTCTGGTACTGTGTGTTTTCTTTTACTAAACAGGATAGCTTTATCAATAATTATTCAGAGACAGCAGCAAATGAGTGACTAGAAGGCTTCAATTGGCCTGAGGCATTTTCTAAAAACTGGAATTGGTTGTCAAATTTTGAAGATGGAGCACTTAGCACGGCCTCCCCACTCCCTAAATATGGCGCGCACTTAGTGGTTTCCCACACTGTAGAGACTTGCTGGCTCCCACAGGCCTCTGTGGCTGTTTAAGACGCCTGCTCCCTCTGTAGTGCATCCTGTCGGGTGTCTCAGCATTGTGGAACGGGTCTATATTTCAGAATATGTTGATTTGTTGTTCAGTGTGGCTTTAAAGCAGCTCTAGGGAATATTCCAACGTACAGTTGCTCTTCCACCAAGCACTGTTCTCTTCATGTTTAAAGGGTTATCTCTTGAGTCTACAATCTGTTACATCATTGTGCCTATGCAATGTTTACTTACTTATGTCCAATATACCAGGTCCCTGGAGGGCAAGCCCTCTCCTTCCTATTATCTATGGTTAGTCCTCCTTTTCCCTATGAACAGCATACAGGGAAACAGAAGTTGCCATTTTAGCTTTCCCTCACCAATTCCTGAGATTCCTGCTTATTCTCAGTCCTGGAGGAAAGGGGGTGTGGGCCACACTGCACTACTGCTTATAATAGGATAGCTAGAAGCTAAAAGGACAGCCAAAGCGCTGAGCCATGAGCTGCAGATATGGGAACAAGCACACAGTTACTTCTGACTTGAATGAATTCTCTTCCTGAGACTATTAACAATCTACTAGAAACTAAGTTCTCTTTACTAACAACAACAACAAAATGTCAATACGTAAGAAAATAAGCCCTTTTCTAAGTTGAACTTTTTAATGACAGAAAATATGATAAATATTTTCATGTATACAGTTTATTTTATTAATATTATAGTCCTAGATGATACAACATCTCTAATCCCTAAAAAGATATTTTAATTTAGAAGACTTACTCTTGAGTCTCAGAATGTAGCACACAGGAAAACAAAACCCTTTTGAAATTAAAAATGTTATTCAGCAGAAACTGAGACTTTTAAACCCATATGGATTTTAATACCAAATATTAAAAATCAAAGCAAAGATAATTGTATTTATTTTAATATCACTATATAAATATGAGCATGTTGATGATACTCACCTCACCAAATGTTGTAGCTGCATTAACAAACATATGCATAACCAAGAAAGTCCTACAAGTTGTCATTTCTTTATTATTATTTTATCATTCATGAATTTAATGTCCTGGAAAGTGCCTTTTTGGTTTGCTATTCTTATTTTGCTTTATAACCCCCAAACATTTAGGTATTAAAAATACAACTGAGAAATTTTAAGATCTGGATGAAATGACAGTCTGTACTCATTTTTGGGTTTTTTCCCATGAGAGAAAATATGCCATGAAACAATGAGCTGCCTACACAATGGCTGGAGATGTTCAATCATTTCCCAATAGCAGTTACAGGGCCAATAGCTTTTTCACTCTAGAATGGACAATTGCCATGTCAGGAAAGACTAGATAGTTTGCCATCTAAAACACAGGTTGCTCACATCTGTACCAATTAATTGATACTCTTGACTTTCAGTTCAGACATCAGAAATATTTTATGCTGAAACAGAGACAGCTTCCTATATTAGAATATGTTCAGTATTTGCCTTTGCCCTCTTCTTTTCCTTCCCCACAAAACTCTGCCCAATTCCAGATTTAAAAGTACACTTTTTACTAAATACTGATAATGATAATGATGGTGAATTTTTCACATGACTATTTTAGTCTAATTTTGATAAAGCCATTTTTAAAAACAAATATATGATATAGTGTTTTAAAAAAATTAATCATTGATGGACCTTTATCTTATCTTATTTATATGTTGTGCTGAGACTCAAACCCAGTGCCTCACACATGCTAGGCAAATGCTCTACTACTGAGTCACAACCCCAGCCCCTGGTACTAAGTTTGAATAAAGAATTCAGGTTAACTGAATAACAGCTGGATTTCTTCTCCCTTTAGTGAATGCCCACTAGGTTCAAAGGTTGTTCTGTATACTGATATATCACAATTTCTTTGCATCTTTTAGTCATGGATGTCAGGGTCCTTTAGCTACTGGCCAGGAAAAATACTATCATATCAGAGTGAGGAGTGCTTAGTTTTGGGTGTTCTGGGGTGGGAAGTGGTGCCAGTTGATTTGGTTCAAAAATTTGTTCCTCTGGGCTCCAACAGCTGTATTCCAAGTCTATGTTTTAACAGTGTGTGGAAGAAAGATAGGTTCTGGTTTCCTTTGTGTTCTACACAGACCATGCTTTGAGATTTTTAGGAGTCAACAGTTAAAACTATGTGATAAAAAAATCCCAAAACTTTAAAACTGTCATAGCAACCCCTCTTTGGCTCTTCAACCTTGGTGGTAATAACCAAAAGTTTAAAGGCACTAGAGGCCAGAGGGCCCATTTGCAAAGCCTCTCTCAGAGTCTAGAGTCAGGAGCCTTCTATGCTTTGCCACACAGCAATTCTCCTAATATTTTCATTATCTGTATTTTGCTTTAATGTTACAAATGTATAGTCTCTAAAAGTAATCTGACCATGCCAGGTTATTTTCTCCCTCAACAAACTCTGATTGCATGATTTAACATAAAAACAATTTGGGGAAGAGATTATTATCTTTATACATTTTGAAAAGCCCTTACTGTTACAGTTTTAAACATGCAATTGAAATGCTGTATTTTCTTGAGTATTTAATCAATTTCTTGGATTCTCTCCTCTAACTGCAGGAACAGGATAAACAGAAACACTCAGTTCTTGGAGCACAACAAACACAAATCAAATTGCTTTCACTCCATGTTTATAAAAATCAAGGCCACCATCAGAAGTTTTTCACTCTTTCCTGTCACCTTTAAATATTTTCATTTATTAAAAGCAGTATATTTTAATAGTATATGCATATGTTCTAAAAAAAAAAATTCTTCCCTGGGGTTGCTGTCAGGCTTTTCTTCCCCAAGCCTTTTGCAATCTTAGCGTATTCTGAATTAAAATGTGTTCCTAACAAGTTATATGAAAGCCTCCTTTTGGGCTGCACATCGACATAGCCCATCTGAAGCCTGGAGAAAGCAATCGAATCCAGCTATGTGGTCAGCAGGCGGGCATCTGCTCCAAAGCACTTGCTCCTGAGCTGCACATCCACTGGGTTTCATGTAATAAAGAAACTGCCCAGTGATAGCTACGGTTTGGAAGTATCCCCAAGCTCCTTTCCAATTCTCATTTTTAATCTTTTCAGCTATTTTCTTTAGTAAAATTAGCCACCAAAGTATGACTTCCTGTATCATTGACCTATGTGCCACAATTAGAAGAAATAAATTCCAACCAGCCCTGAGGAAGGCTAGAGTCAGCACTGAAGGAAAAACTGAGCCTCATCAATTTATCAGAAGGTGGTTCTCACTGCCCGGTGTTACTTCCCACTCTGCCTCTCCCTACCCTCTCTAGCCCTGTGCCCAAGTTCATGTTGCTTTGAGGATGTGTGATGTGTGCTTTCGAGTTGCTGCTTTTGAGCTTGGGTCTTCTCAGCCATGAAAACACAGTTACAAATTGTTCTGGGAGCTAAACCACTCAACATCTTGGCACTTGGTTGTTTTTAACTTTTCAACAATAGGCACTGTTCACTCCCCTCCATCTCAGTCCTTTATTCAGTGATCAGGCAGGACACTGATGAAAGGCTGGTCACGGCTTCCCCCCATGGTATCAGTGTGGTGGCATGTGATGATTCACATGGGGTGTGTTTGATCCGAGGAAGCCCAGCCTCTGCTTATTCTTCCTTTGTTCTGTCATCTGGGGAGAGAGAGAGAGAGAGAGTGTTCAGCTGATTTCCACTCTTCCCCAGTGCTGGTGGGCACAGACGTTCTCTATCAATATTTCCCAAGTACCTACGATCTGGCATCTTATAGAATATATTTATCAAAAAAAGGGGAAATAAAAAAGTGTGAATTTCCATAAAGAGAGAAAAAGAGCAAACCCCTCTCTGTGGTTGGGAAACAGGAACCATGGTTAATTTTTAAGACAGATCTTGATTTTCACTCATTTATCACCATCACCACAATCATTTTAATAGTTAGCCGGGCTACTATTGATAACCACGAATGCTAATGATGTTGTATGATAAAGGGGTAGATTGTTGTAGTTACTAATAATGATTTGCTATTCTGATGAGTATAATAATTGTAAACGTGGCAGAAAATATGCTCTTCTATCAAAAAGTGCAGAGGTGTCCTTGTATGTTGGCATTTGCTCCTTTCTCCCCTTCATAGAAGAAGAAATGTCACACACAGTGACTAAGTGGAAGACCCTGTTTGCCAAGATATGGTTCTATAGCATACTGGAGTTCACAATCCTCTGAAGGACAGCCTAGCTCCCAGCAGTCTCTCTGGATCTCCCCAGATTCAAAGTGGTGAGTGGCTCCGGCCCCCAGTGCCACCTCCAGGAGCATACATACCTGCTCCTTGAGTTCCGCCAGCTGACCTGACAGCTGTTTGACCAGACTCATGGTTGATTCCAGCTTTTCCTGCAGGTTCCGAATCTCATTTTGCTCACTGTCACCTTCATTGCTAACGAGGGACATGGCTCGCATCCGAGGAAACCAGTCCAAGTTCTTCTCCTAAAAGCAAAGTAAATGTGCAGGAACAAAGGAATGAGTATGGAAGGGAGCCTGGAGTCCCATAAAGAATGTTTATAGGTGTTCATTATTATTAATGAACCAAGTTAAACCAAGGTCTCTTAGCATTCACACCAAAAGGCATCCTCTAGCCAGGGTTAGGGAGGGGATGAGGGCAGAAACGAAGTGGGGGTCAGCCATTGCTCTTCATGAACTGGGGGAAGACCTTCAATATTGAAACAAGCTTGCTATGGGCTTCCAGAGAGATTCCAGATGAAGCACTTAGGAGAGCACCATGCACCCTGCAGGCATGCAGTGAATCTTCCTGAGTGAGGGGTCATGATGAGGTGGGGTCTGGAAACTGGGGAGAGGACGTGTATTATGTGTGGGTACAGCAGAGTCATGAGCTGTTTCTCTTTCCCCCAGCACAGGGGAGGAAAGGGTGGTAGAACAAGAGGGTGGTAAAAAGATAGTTTCAGTTCTAGCTGCCCATGCTCGTTTCCTTCCTACTTCCCCTGTTGAGGCTCCTCACTAGCTCTTTGGCCTCTAAGCTCCACTTAGGAAAGAGGGGAGTAGGAGGGCATGGCCCAGGGTTGCTCTGTCTGCTCCCTTTGGAAACACTCTATTATGGCGGTTTTAGACTTAAGACTTCTCCAGACAGCAATAGATGGCACCACTTCTGTATTTCTAGTGTGTGTCTTGTGATGGTGGTGGGAGGATATTAGGAGGAGGACTCTACTTTCCACTATGATAGACACCCAGCTGTCTAAAAAATTGAATTGCCTAACAACATAGAATCACTGCGAATTACTTAGATTACATTTTCCAATCTTCAAAAGAACTCTACAAAGTAAACCATATTGTCTCCTATTTTACAGGTAAGGAAACAAGAGGATCCAACATTACAATTACCCCTGTCACAAGCTAGTGAATGGCAGGGGAGAAATGGGATTTGAGCCATTGATTGGGCATGCCAGTGTATCTCTACCTACCCATCTATTTCTCTAAGTCACCTTCTCTCAATATCCCCAGAAGTTGGCTTTTTGCTTAAGATTCTTTCTTCTCCAGAAATGTCCACTGAAGTGGTTGTGGAAATCCTCTGTCTAGAGGATCCTAAGCAGGAGGGTCATTGAGCAAGCACCTTCCCTAAGGTGGAAAAAGTGCACTGTGCTGTGGTCTCCACGATCTTACCTGGCCCTTGAATTGATTTTTTGTTGTTGTTGCTGGTTGGGGAACAAGTTCTCTTTAGTTCCCTATTGCCAAGGGCAGTGAAAGGGGCTAATAAAGGATTAAAGATAAAACACATTGAAGAGTTTTAAACTGCATTTAAACAGCTGTAGTTAATTAGCATTTCAAAGGAGAACAGTCACTTCCTCTGAAGTGCAGAGTGACAGATTCATTCATTTAATCAATCCTTCAACTTCTATTGTCAGGTAGCAGGGATGAAAGTCAGATAAGACTGTGTGTGTGTGTGTGTGTGTGTGTGTGTGTGTGTGTGCGCTCTCAAGGGGCTTATGGAATAGGATGGTCCTCCAGGAAGAGTGGACTGCACACCCTGTCTGTCAAAATCCCCTGGGGTTGCTTGTTAAAATTGAGATCCTAACCCCATCACCTCTTATCAAATCAGAACCTCAGGGGATGTGTGTGATTCTTATTCTGATGTCATTACTGTGTAAGAACTCTGGTCTTCAGAGACAGAAAAGATAAATGAGGATTGCTGGGACAGTGGCAGGACAGAGAGATGGTGTGAACAGGAAAAATCTATAATAGCAGTTTGGAAAAAACAGCAGAGGAAACCAAATCAGGACCCATTAAATGCTTGCAGAGTGGTGTACACGGTCCAGCCAGGTGGGAAGCCAGGCCTTGAAATGACTGCAGCAAAGACCCTTGTTCACAAACAATCCAGGTAAATGTGCAGATAAGTCAGAAAGCCAGACTGACACAGAATCTTGTGTCTCCTTGGGATGGGCATCAGGAAGACACAGGTGTAGCGAAGTAGGAATGTTGGCAAAGAGGTAGTTAGGCTTAGGAATATTAAGGTGTGGACTGGCAGGAAAGATGGAGAGGAAGAAACCTGGGCTAGCTCCTGTGGTCATTTGTTCCTTCTAACAATGCAATGACATGCGTTCTATTATCTCTCTAGTGTCTATATTGTCTACAATGCTACTAGTTATCTAAATTTTACAAAGGAAGAAACTGAGTCTAGGAGGGGCACAGTGGGGATCCCAGCTCAGATCTGTTCATTCTGTTTTGTTGGTAGGACACAAGACAGTGCACAGAAAATGGAATAAATATAAGATTTTGAAGGTAGGACAACTTTGAGATATGAAAACTCTGGGGTGAGAATGCCTTAAATCTGTTGAAGGTGGGTACTGCCTAAGTTGGGGTATCAGTGTTGGTGGGCACAGAATTTTAATTGAAGAAGATTATGGAAGATTATGGTTATGGAAGCTGGGGTGATGGTAGTACTCTTGTGTGAATGTACTCAACACCATAAAGCTATTTTTAAAATGGCCCACTGACAAATTTTATATTCTGTATATTTTACCACAACTAAAAAAAAAAAAAATCACAGAATTTGCAGAGGCTAATTTTTTTGGATGAAATGTGCACGGAGCCCCGGAAGTCATCCTGAAGATCAGTACCTGGGTAGATGAGGAAGCTGTGGGCCAGCCAGGGCCAATGTTTGTAATGAATGCACAAAAGTGACCCAATGTGCTAGAGGACATTGAGATTTTAAAAATGTCCTTTAATGGTGATTGAAGGTGTCAAGATTTCTTTTTCTTTTTTTTTTTTTTTAATTTTTTATTGTGGGTTGTTCAAAACATTACAAATTTCTTGACATATCATATTCCACACTTTGATTCAAGTGGGTTATGAACTCCCACCTTCACCCCATACACAGATTGCAGAATCACATCAGTTACACATCCATTGATTTACAAATTGCCATACTAGTGTCTGTTGTGCTCCACTGCCTTTCCCATCCTCCACCCTCCCCCCTCCCCACCTCTCCCCTCCCCTCCCCTCCTCTCTCTCTACCTCCTCCACTGTATAACCCTGAGGGTCTCCTTCCATTACCATGCAATTTTCGATGTCAGGGAGCCCAGAATTTGTGAACCTTCTTCTAGGGCCCTTAGGACTGAGTGGTTGGGGAAATAGGCAGCTGCCTCCAGAGGGCTAAAAGGGAGGCTCCTCCTGCGACAAAGAGGCAGCATTGTGGAAGAGAAGAAAGGTCCATGAGGACCGGGGCCAGAGGAGCTCTTGGAGCAGAGGTTTTGGGAGCATCAAATGACTGGGCTTGGGGTGAGGAGGTACCTGGTGGCATGTGATGGCCACAGTGAGTGAAAATATTAACTTTCAGAAAGTTTCAAGACACAAAGCATTGCTCGAATACTTAGCAGACTGTCACAGGAGAGAATACGAAACTGCCTCTGAAGAAACGCTACTGCAGCATTGGGGGCCAGATCAGTCAAGTCCAACACCTTTGGCTTTTGAGGAAACAATGGCAGTTCTCAGTGGACCACTGTTGGAGCCATTTGGGCCATGGAGCTCTCATTCCCTGCACTGTTCTGTATCTCTGTTCATCCATTAATTGAGTAATTCTTACTGGGGATTTCTGTGTCTGTGCTAGGCACTGAGAAAACAACAGAAAACAAAACCCAGCACAATCCATGTGCTCTTTAAAATACACGGTTTGGCGGAGGGGTGGAGAGTAAAACTTCAATCAAGGGATGACAAAAATAAAGACAAGCTGTGCTTAAATGCTAGGCAGGAAAGGTACACGGCTTCTCTTTTCTCTCAGTTACTAAAATGCATTCTTTCTTTTAACACTCCTTTGGTTTTCCTAATCTTTTTTTCTGCTTTTTAATATGTATATTGTTTCATTTCTTCCTCCCTTTGTGTATCAACTGATGACTGGCCAAAATGTAAATATAATGTTTAATTAACATTTTTTTTCACTATCAAACACAATTTTATGGTTCTTAAGATTTGAGAGACTGAAGTTAAGTGAAAAAAATTTAATATTTTTGTCCTTTTTTAATAAAATGATCTTTTAAAAATCAGTTTCACATCTTATTTTTCTTCAAAACTAATGCAGAAAATATATTCTTTTCACCAAGTTTAACTCAAATACAGCAGTGTTCTTGGAATAAAATGTGGTGTGTGTTTATATATGATTATGTATAGTCATATAGTTAGATCAGTTTGTCCTATTAACATTTGTATTACTTTTGAGATATATACATATCTCAAAAGTAATTCCCAATTAAGCACCCAGAATTTCCTCTCTCTGCTCTGCTACTTTCCATGGAGTTCTCATCCTGAGCAAGGTGGAGAGAAAGGTGAGCTGTGGACCCACACACAGAACAGTAACTAGCTGACAGGATACCACTCCCTCAGCAGGTCCACGTGTAACGTGCTCAATGTCTAACAAAGCCGTTGGATTTGATTTACTATTCCTCAGTTTACTTCTCTATGCTATGTATATCTTGTGATCATATGAGCACATGATTATTAGATTCCCATGTTGACTCTGCTTAGTCAATATGAAATCATTTCCTTATTTCACCAGGAATGAAAATATTTGACCACAGGGTAGCATAGAGTCAGGGAAGTGGTGGATTAACTGTTAGAATCTGAGGCTACAATGCAAGATCCTAACAATTTGGTGAGTGAAAATTCAGACCTTCCAGAGATTTCAAAAATGCAAAGCTCAGAGATGGAACTAGTCATATCTCTGAGATGTCACAGGCCAACCACAACCCTCTTTCTGTCACCAAATTCTAATAATAATGTACCTTTCTGGATGACTGAAAGACCAAATGGTAGAGATACATAAATCTTTCAAATTAGTCCTTTCAACAATAGTCAGATCAGTTTGTCCTATTAACATTTGTAGTTATGCAATAAAAATGATTAAGTTGTTAGTGCCAATCAAAATTATCTGTGCTGTTTTCATATTTGGTTCTAAAATACAGTATTTCATTTGTGGGAAAGAG